GCTGTCGTCCCTGGGAGCAAACGCGCCCCCCAGGGACGACAGCAACAAAAAAACGGCTGTCGTTGCGGGGCGCGCTTTTTTTTGCTGTCGTTGCGGGGGCGCGTTTTTTTTTTGCTGTCATTGCGCGGGCGCGTTTTTTTTTGTTTCCGTCCCTGCGGCGCGAGTTTTTTGCTGTCGTTGCGGGCACCTGGGTTCACTCACTCACTGGCTTCAGCGCAACGAGAACAAAAAAACATAAAGGCAACTAGAGCAAAAAAACACTGGCTCCAGGAGTGTAGGCGTGTGTGTATATGAACACATTGATATGTACACGCACACACCCATTCATCCATTGCTTTTGCACGTTTACTTTTTTTTCTACATGTCGGTGTTCATGTTTATTTCGACTTATCATGCATATACATACTGTTTGTTCATTTATCCGTTTGTTTACATGTTCATACACATATACGCACATGTATATACTTCTACTAGATACACACACACATGCACATGCATATTTACACACATACAGTCACTTGCACGCATGGTTGAGTGTGGGGATCTGTGATCACTTGCTGCCAAAACCGACTTGTTGTAAGCCTTCACAGGGCAGCTCCAGAGCCAGAGTCTAGCATGGCATGCATGGCATGCATGGCAGGCCGGCCTCTTCCTTTGGGCTGCGCCTCCGCTTCCTTCGGCTCGCCTCGGTCGAGAGGCGAACTCGGCAAATGGGGTTTCGGGGAGCCTTTGAGACGAGGCTCTGCTGGCTGCGGGTCAACTTCCACCAGAAGCTCCGGGAGTTTGCGTCTGCAGGTCAAGCGTGGCGCGGAAGGAGTCCGTGCGAGCCCTGATAGCCCTGCAGCGGGCCGAGCCTGAAGGAATTCCACAAAGTCCTTGCCAACGGATCCTCGGCTACCGGCTACCGGCCCCATAATCTATATCAGAACAGGCTACAGTGACAAATTCTTCAACATGATATGGAAGCGACCGCTAAAAGCAAAGATTCCGCATGCTCGCCTGCAAAGAGGCTGTCTTTCAAGAGGTACTCGTAGAAAGAGTCGCCGCGGCTTCCCAAGGAAATGCGGTTCTCCGGAGATGCGAAAGTGCTGCCATCAGATCTCCTTAGCTCTTAGCCCTGCGTGCAATAAACAAGCGAAAGCACAAGCAGTGACTTTGAATGGGAAGTCAGACAAGGCACAGCAAGATGGCGCCTAGACCCCGGTTCTGGAGGTCCAGGGAAGCGTTCAGAGTGCGCAGCACCTGATCCTGAGCTCGCGAGTAAGTACCTCGGCTGCATCTGATTCTGTCCCTGCTCGCCCCTTGGAACCCAGGTTTTCTGCGAGTCGCAGTTGCCAGTCAATGCAGTCAAATACTTCCATTCCTCGGATGGAGACTTCTAGGCAAGGAGAACTTTGGCAGGTCTGATTCCACTTACGCAGAGGCTGCTCCGCCATCGGCTGCAGCCGAAGTGCCATCGGAACATACGCTTCAGCGAGGGAGACGAAGCCAGCTAGGTTTTTTGTTTCCTGCACGGGCACTCAATTTTCCAACTGTCTACTTGTAGCTGCATAGCTTGCCCATGTGGTCTCGGTGCAATTGAGGATCTCCCGTTTTCAGGTTCACATCTGACGACGGCAAGCCTACAGTGGCCATTGCAGAAATTCTCATTAAGAACAGCGCACAGCGCACTAAGACCCGCGCTTGCTGGCGCAGTTTTGACCTCTTTCCTTAGCCACAGGGTACATCGATGCTTGCCGTGCGGTTGCGGCATCTCTCAGTTGGAGGCCGATGTCTGCGACACTTTCGAGAAGGACGAATGACATGTATCATGTCTAGGCTGCTGCGAATAATCATTATCGGAATCTTTCCAAGTACGACAGCCGGCCCCGCTTGAGTTGAAACTAAGCCCCGAATTGATCATGCCTGACAATGACCTAATGACCTCAAGCAGCAATCGAAATCGCGAACTGTAGATACCCTGCTACTTCATAGAGGCCAGTGCCAGTGCGATGTGTCATATCGATCACCATTCTTGCAGGGTCTTTTCGTGCTTGGGACGATAGAATGACGCCAACACGACGGCAGTGTCGAACATTAACAGGACACGCGATGGAAATGTGAGGTCCCTCAACTGGCCAACTTTGGCGACCTGACCTGTGACCATGTCGTCGTAATTAACTAGACCTGTTGCGAAGCTGAGCGTCCCAAGCACTGTATCCAACGTATTTTGCGGGACACCAACCTGTTGCAGCAGCTTCTTGACGTCGTCTGTCCATCCGGTGGTGGTGTCACCTGAACTCGCAACACACCTTGGAGAGAAAAACACACAGATCCCTGATCGGGCGCCTTTCGCAGGCGCAGGCGGCGCAGGACTGGGGATTGCCGGGATGCTCGGAAACGCTTGGATCCTGGGGACGGATCGGGCTCGGGCGGTTTGGGTTCAGGACACATTGCGGTGCAGGTGAGGTCCGGGCAAGCGGTCGCCCAGATCCACTGCTTTGGCCAAGAGCCCAGGCCTTCCACTCAACCTCGACTCGACTCAAGACCGAGGCTTTGATCTTTGGCCCTCGGCTCTCCGAAGCTTCGGTCTGGAGGCGCGAAGGCAGAAAGAAGCCCGCCCAAATGGCGAATAGTGGTTTCGAAGAGATTCACGTTCAGGTCATGGGCAAAGCCTCGCAAGTTACAAGGGGCCAGGACACGAGACTCAAACCGCCTGCATTTGAGCCACTCAATGATTTCTCCACCCAGGCAGCTGCCCGGTCGAATTCCTTTCAAGTCTGATGCTGCAGCTCAGCATGCGAGGGCGTGGGTTATGAAGCTGCCGAGGCCTTCCGAAACCCCATCAGCCAGAGCGTGTCCATGGCATCAACCAGCGTCTGGCCAATGCCCCCCCAGCTGTCTTGGCCAGTGCCAGACACCGGCCTCGACGTGAAGAATAGAAACAGTCAATCCCGGAGAGTCTCCCGGATGCAAATCCTTTCACGCTCTCGCAGTCTTTACCCGAAAATTTCTCGCCTGAGCTCATCCTTGGCGAAAGCACGCTTCTCGTAGTTCCGCCAGACATGACGCATCATTGACAAAGCCTTCTGGGGCTGTGTACCCAGATGCCAAACAAAAGGCAGAAACAACCAGAAACCGGCAGAGTTTCTGCTGTGCGTTTTGTCGGCCTGGCGCCGGGCCAACTCGGACTCCTCGGCGAGGTATTGCTCGGCTTCCGCAACGGCCTCTGCCTCAACCCAGTGCCGTCTTTGCCGGCACCTCAAAGGACCAGTGGCTACAGGGACAGCTCGCACAAGATACAGCTCGCAAGGCACTGACATCCCCGATCACTCACTCTCCCTCTCCCCCTCTCCCCCTCTCTGCTTCCACACAGACAAGAGGAGCGAGAGTCGTACTCCCCCGCACTGGGCACTCGCTCTGATGTGAGCGGAAGCTAAGGAGAGACCGGGCGACACAGAGCCCTTGCAATGACAAAAAGCCAACTAACTAAGAGGAAACAAACGCCGGGCCTCGCTTTGCAGGTTTGTTCGGCTGTCCCCCGACATTCACGAGCGAACCATTGTGGGCTTAGGGCTCGCGGTGCGACCCTCAGGCCATTGGCCCGCCCAACCCTCCAATGTGCTATTGTAAGGTGAATCTCTCTCTGTCGCGAGGGTAAAGGAAGAGGGAGCGACCCTCTTCTGAGTCTCTTTCTTTCTGCCGGGCTCTCTCTTTCTCTCTCTCTTTTTACTCTTTGTTTGTTCCTTTCTGCCGCGACCCGCGGGCGTTTTGTCGCCAGACCACTCTTTGCTTTATGAAGTGGTCGGCTTTCAGCACTCACAACAAAAAGTGGTCGGCTTTGCGGTATTCCGGACTGTGGCACTGAAACACCTAGTGGGATCTCAAGTCTCCGACTTGTCAACCCCGCTTTACACTAAACATCAACACAACCGCCGCCTCGTCCCCGCCCCCATATATGGTCAGGCGTCTGGCGTTCCCAGCCCCCCCCCCCCCCAATGGTATGGTCTGACAGGGGTGGGGGGGGGGGGGTGGGCTGGCGTGTGCGGAAAGGGGTTGGGGCCGTTGGAGCTGCCACTGGATGGTGGGGTGGTGCTGGCGGCCAGGGCTCACGCGCAAGCCCTTCGCAAGCAAGCCGTAAACCTTATGACGCAGCGCTTGCCCCGTTTTGAGCAACCTTAACTTGTACTTAAAACGCTACACCCAACCCCACCCAACCCTAAACCCCACCTAAGTGCAGGCTCTAAGCCTAAAGCAGAGCATACACCGCAAATCCTCCCTAAGCCCTTGTCGACTCGAAGCCTTATACCTTGTAGCCGTAAACCCAAAACTCAAAAGCTTGAGCTAAACCCTAAACCCCAAAAACCCCACAACCACCCCACAGGGGGAAGAGGAACCCCACACCCCACACCACAGGGGATGGGGGGGCCCCACCCTATATCCGGACCATTGACCTTTGGGGGGGGGAGGGGGGGGGGCTGCGGTATAAGGCTTCGAGTCGACAAGGGCTTAGGGAGGATTTGCGGTGTATGCTCTGCTTTAGGCTTAGAGCTTAGAGCCTGCAGTTAGGTGGGGTTTAGGGTTGGGTGTTGCGTTTTAAATACAAGTTAAGTTGCTCAAAAAAGGGGCACGCACTGCGTCATAGGGTTTGCGGCTTGCTTGCGAAGGGCTTGTGTGCGAGCCCTGGCCGCCAGCACCGTGGCAGCTCCAACAGCCCCGACCCCTTTGCGCACACTCCAGCTCCCCCCACCCCCCTGTTTGCGTAAACCTCTAAAGGGGTAGCTCTAACAGGTACCTACAGCAATGGCTGCATGCTCATACATATACATTCCGCTGCCCATTGGCTCACAGTGGTTTTACCATATTGAGACAAGACAAGCTCTCCTTGCGTAGCAAGACAAAACAACTACTGTCCGTGTGCAGGGCGCTGCCCTTTGATCCTTAGGGAATAAACTGGTCATACACCTCCTAACAAGGAGCATTTCCTTGTGGGTGTATCGGCTCAGTTTTCTGGTAGCGGAGCCCGGAAAGGGCCGCCCGCCTCCCAAAGTCCGCTACAGCGGTCGGCCTCGCCGAACGCTTAACCAAGCGGATAAGAGGCAGCACAATGTCGAGCTCGCATAGCGAAGCCGACGACAGTTCCCAATCCTCCGGGGGATATGAGAACGAAGAGACCTCCCAAGGTCCAGCCACTTATGTCGCACAGTCATATGCAACATCTGACCGCATGCTTGCATCATTAGGCATAACGCCCAAGATCGCGCCTGCCTATGATGGCACCACCTCGTGGTTTGAGTATGAACAGTTGATTGACGACTGGTGCGACATAACAACGCTGGATGACACCAAAAGAGGTCCGTCTCTCAAGACGAGGCTCTCCGGATTGGCCGCAGTACAAAAGGAATCACTGAACCGAGAAAGGCTTGCAGCCCCAGATGGAGTAGATTACTTCAAGAAGAAGATGCGTCCATTTTTCGTGAAAGGAGAACAGTACGTTTTCCTGTGGCGTTTCCTCGGCCTATTCAAGGCATGGAAGGGCAACCAAGACTTTGTGACTTGGATTGCCAAGTTTGAGATCGTGCTACAGCGCGTGAAAAACTCATGGATGGATCTCTTACCAGAGATAGCTCTGGAGGATGCCCATCCAGATTTCATGCAAGCTGTGCAGGCAGACCAAACCTTCTTGCGCATGCAGGATGCAGCCGACAGAGACACATATGCCGCACGCTATTTCGAAACATGGAACAAGGAACGCCTTGACAATCATCGAAGAGCGTTTCCTCTGAACGATAATCTCCTAGCTCTCCTCTTCCTAGTGCAGTCCGACCTAAATGAGATGCAACGTGAGAGGTTGGTAACAGCATTGACCAACCAAGGTCACCGAATTGAGACCTACACGTACCCTGTGGTACGGCAGACCATGTTCGATCAGTTCTCAACGACCAGAACTGGTCTGCAGGATCCCAACATTCGGCACTCTTCTCACAAGAAGGACCGCCATGGAAGGAGAGATAACGCCGCAAACGCGGAGGTCGAAACTTCCTCATCCTCGATCAGGGTGAATACGACGGAGTCGATGGATTCTGGCTCCAAGACGAAGACACCCTTGAGGAAGGCTTTCTTGCCGCCGAGGATGAAGAAGCTGTCTTCTGGACAGTTGACGACCATGAAGCCTTCGTTGCAAGGAGATTCAAAAAGGGAAGAAGACCAAGAATGCGTCCCGGATCACCGGGAAGAGCAAAGGGTGGCAAGCGAAAAGGACGTGGCCGTTTTAGGTCATACCGCGGAAAAGGGAGAGCCAACCAGGCAGAACATGATCCAACTGATTCCAGCTATTTCGGTAAAGGTAAAGGAAAGGAAAAAGGAAAAGGTGGAAAAGGCAAAGGAAAAGGAAAGGACAAAGGAGATAAAGGAAGCTCCTTCAAAGGCGCAAAGGCAAAAGGCAAAGGTAAGGATACATGTTGAAGGTGTTCACCCTGGGTGGCCATACCCTGCAGCGAAGCTCACGCAGAATGTTTTCTATGGCTGGGCGCAGAGGCGACTCACGATCTCAACGAAGCAACAAGAGAACCGACAAACCAACAAACGACCTGTACAGCTTTACAAGTTGTTGGTTACAGTACACATGGCTCAAGAGGCTTTCCTACGCAGCCTTCCCCTAAGCCAAAGGATACAGGAAACACACATGTACAAGCCTACCTGAAGGAAACTATACAAGTGCCGGCAATCCCTTCAAGCAGACTACACACCTGTCTAACCTGATACCTGGGCATGCAGTGAGAAGCATTTCAACACTCCTCCTTGCTAGAGCCGACAGGCAACTAGCACACGCTGCACTATTTACAGCATGCCCGTTCCTGGGACCTCTAGCCTTGAACCTTGGCTTGCCTTTAGAGACCTGTGCGGTGGCGGTCTCTGCAAACACGGCACAAGTTGCGGGTAGTTAAGGGTGTATTACGCCTTAAACCCCAACAATTAGAATCTAGATGAACACAATCCCCGTGCGCAGTGAAGTAAAAGGGACCTTGGGGAAGTTCATACTGCGTGCGGATTTCGATCCTGGCAGGCATCGGATCTGGTGGGACTCCTGTGACTGGTTGGAAAGCAGGCTCACGATCCGTTTGAGTAGACTGCTCACGCACTGCAGGGCGGCGACGAGACTGTGTGGCCTTGGGCCGTGGTGCAGCAGGCAACTCGTGGGAGGACTGCGAAGGCACAGGTGCCCTCTCGTTGTGAGCTGTGGACTCACCTGCTGGTGGTCTGGAAGACACGTCCTCAAGACTCATGCCCTGCAGTTGGGCAGCAAGCTCATCCTCAACAGCTCTCTGCATACGCCTCAAACGACGGGCTCGACGAGACGACGCATGCGAACCAGCCCACCACGCATCAAGCCGATCCCACAATCTCTTCAACCACTCCCACACAACAAGGACACAAACCAATGCCATGCCAAGAACGAAGTACAGCTCCAGGGATCCATCAAGCTGCAAGCCAGGATACTCGGATTCACGGCTTGAGCTTCGTGCAGGTTGGATTTGAAGCAAACACAACAAGGCACTCAACGCGACTGGGTCGACAGCTGCTGACGAGCTCGGCCTGACCTCTCGGTCGGCTGTATCACCCGCAAAGTCACGCATGCCCCATAACCTGACAAGCTCTTCAATCCTTGCAGACGGAAGAGGTTTGGTCAGTAGATCTGCAAGCTGTTCCACACCCGGGCAGAAGGCAAGCCTCAGCTTCCCAGAGCGAGTCTGCTCACGAAGGTACTCAGCTCTTACCCGTAGGTGTCGCGTTCTCCATGATCCATGACCGTCAGAAATCGCAAGTGACGCTTGGGAATCAACGTGCAAAACCCTTTCTTCCGCAACGTCAAAACCAACCGTGTGAAGCAACGCCTCAATTGATTCAAGCGCGATTGCACACTCAATCGAAGCAGTGAGTTCACTTTCAGCAGTAGAAAGTGTCACAAAAGCTTGACGCGCCGACCTCCAAGCAACTGGACATCCATGCACACACACGCACCAGCCTCCATGTGAGCGAAGGCCTTCTGGCGAGAAGCTTGCGTCACTCCAACCGTGAAGTTGGGTTCCGTCCGCCTCAAACACCAGCGACGCTGTCTTGGTTCGCTGCAAGTAAGCCAAGGCACGGTCAGCAATGCGTAGAGCACGACAAGGCGCCTTCGTAGACAAACTAGCAAGCAAGCTGGCAGTGAACGCCAGGTCCGGGCGAGTACGTTGAGACAACCACAGCAGTTCACCAGTCACCTGTTGCGCGCGGTGAACGGCCTCCCCGTCAGGGGGGCTGGAGTCTCCTTCGCCAACTT